ACACAAAATTTTGCACACATTTTCAACTTTGCCTTGCAAACATTACTCACGTCACCTATCGGAATATAGATCTATGAAAAAATATTGCTGAATTTTAAAGAAAAAAGATTTTTTGTGCTATTTGTCCAAGTCATCGGTGTCCCTAGGAATTAATGTGACTGCTCCGTGTCGCCCGATACTGTATCGGCCGATCATGTTCTTTCAGCCAACAAGACCACAAAAATTTAGTCGCCCGACCATCGGCTTAAATGTGACCTAGGCATTAGTATACTGGAAAATGGCAGATACCTATGATTTCCTGGACTTGTTTCTTCCTTCTGAAAGGTGTTTTTCAAGTTTGGAAATAGAAACAAGACAAAAGGTCATAGATCTGGCGAATATTGTTAATGTGAAAAAAAACATTGACTTTCTGTCTATCCCGAAAACTCCTTTATGCCTAGGTCACATTTAAGCCGATGGTCGGGCGACTATATTTTTCTGGTCTTGTCGGCTGAACTAACATGATCGACCGACACAGTATCGGCGACACGGAGCAGTCACATTATTTCCTAGGGACACCGATGACTTGGATAAATAACACAAAATTTTTTTTCATAGATCTATATTCAGATAGGTGACGTGAGTAATGTTTGCAAGGCAAAGTGGCAGAATCTTATAAAATTGTGACTCAATGTTGAAAATGTGTGTAAAATTTTGTATGGAATTGCATAAAAATATCTTCAAGATTTCTTCATATCTTACAATTATTTTTGTTATTTCCGTTTAAAAAACATATATCAATCCATGCATCAAAATTTTGTTTGTGTGATGTATCCTTAATAGGTTCAATATTCAATAGTCGGCCAATCGTCGCCCGATCATCGGGCTCTGAGCTACAGTTTGATTTTATCCATCAGCCGAAATTTAAAACATCTTTATTGTCCAACGACGACGACCGACTAAAGTATAATGCCTAGGTCACATTTAAGCCGATGGTCGGGCGACTAAATTTTTCTGGTCTTGTCGGCTGAAAGAACATGATCGGCCGATACAGTATCGGGCAACACTGAGCAGTCACATTAATTCCTAGGGACATCAATGACTTGGATAAATAACACAAAAAATCTTTTTTCTTTAGAATTCAGCAATATTTTTTCATAGATCTATATTCAAATAGGTGACGTCAGTAATGTTTGCAAGGCAAAGTGGCAGAATCTTATAAAATTGTGACTCGATGAATGTTGAAAATGTGTGCAAAATTTTGTATGGAATTGCATAACAACGACAAATGGTGCATATCTAATCAGCAAAGAATACTTTAAAGATTTCTTTATATCTTACGGATTAATTATTCATGTTATTTCCGTTCAAAAAATTTATATCAATCCATGCATCAAAATTTTGTTTGTGTTATGTATCCTTACTAGGTTAAATATTCACAAGTCGGCCAATCGTCGTCCGATCATCGAGCACTGAGCTACAATTTGATTTTAACCGTCGGCCGAAATTTTGAATACCCGTACTGTCGAATGACGGACGACCGACTTTATAAACTGACTTCCGATGGTCGGACGATGATCGAAGGTTGGTCGACGGATAACTTCAATTGAAGGAATCGGCCACCGACGCATAAAAAATTATAACTTGGACCGATAGACACAAAATTGGTCGGCCGACAAAAAAAGAGGTCAAAATCGGGCAAGACAACGGCCGATGAACTGACGACTGTCACCCGAAGAATCCCATTTTTGCTTCAAAACCCGTCGGCCGTTGGTCATTTTTGGAAATGTGACTGGGGTTTAATATGTATTTTGATGCACTATAGAGTCATCGGACAGAGAATTGCGCCATCTTTGAAAAAATAAAACCATTAAATATACAAATGAGATCCTAGTAATAATTTGTACTGATAGAATTTTGTTTTACCATCCAACAATATCTTCTATTTTTTAATTCTATTTGGAATGAAACTTTTTAAAACGTCGAAGTTAAAACCGTGCATCATACATTTAAAAAATAAACTTTTTTTGTTTAAAAAAAAAATCAAACATTTACGATCAGTAAAGAAAAATAAAACTATTTTACCTTAAGTCGGTGAGGGAGCCTAGTATTTTGAGCAAAAAATTTCCAATAACCATCCCAAAAAATATTAATTTAAATTCATAACTTAAAGGAATCTAAAGATACACGTATTTGCATTTTCTCGATTTCTCTTAATGTATGGGGATTTGTAAAAGTACAGAAAATGTTACGATTGATCCTAAAATGTGTTTTTTTTTAGCAATGCAACTTGGTGTTAGATAATATTCAGTAAAGTAACCACGCCATTTTTCTTAAAACGTTTTGTGTTGCCTTTTATCTGCCATCGCTGGATAATGTGACTAAGAGAGCGTTATATAAGTCTCCAGCATTGACAGTTTTTTAGGTAATATTTGTCTTTCTATGCTGAAATTGGAATTCAGTCATTTGTTTCACTTTCGGAAACCTAATCCCTGTAAATATGATTCATTTTCAGCGGATTTATATATTTTTTAAAAAATGTGTGCATGCCTTCAATTGAAGGAATCGGCCACCGACGCATAAAAAATTATAACTTGGACCGATAGACACAAAATTGGTCGGCCGACAGAAAAAGAGGTCAAAATCGGCAAAGACAACGGCCGGTGAACTGCCGACTGTCACCCGAAGAATCCCATTTTTGCTTCAAAACCCGTCGGCCGTTGGTCGTTTTTTCGAAATGTGACTGGGGTTTAACTATTCAGGGCGTACGGGTTTGGACGCTGTCATGAAGAAATTTAATGTAAAAGATTCCTAATTCTGGGTCCTTCCTCCAATAAATCTTTCGATTTTTTTGCAAAAAAATTGCTTTCTAGACTCCTCCAGAAATTAAACTGTCTCCCCGAGTACGAGTTTGAACAACAACAATGCCACTAATATTTAAGAAAATTGCATATAAATCTGTCTTTGTGATGTTGCATATCTTTGCTCTTGTCAGACCTTTGCTGTTTTTATCAAGTACATCTTTATGGTAAATTTTGTTTTGAGGGTTTTAAGCAATAGATCCATGTTCCATTATCTGTTTGAATATCAAACAAACGTGTATAACTACAAGTACTGATATTTTAAAATATTTACATTTCCAATGTCTTTGTCCGAGATAAAATTACCAATTGTAAATGTAATTGATTTCCTCATGAATGCTTTGGCGCGGTTCCAAAAAAACCACGTGCAAGGCGGGACAACACCTAGAGAGAAGCAGGCTTGGAGCCCGTGGATTGGCGGAATCAAAGCATGTAAATATAAGGAATAACTGTCAGATTTTTCGAATTCATGAAGATGATCAATGGATTGGCTTGTGTGATAATTTTATGCATAAACGCCTTCGGCGTTTATGCAAATTATCACACAAGCCAATCCATTGATCACTTCATGAATTCGAAAAAATAAGACAGTTATTCCTTAAATAATTGTTAAAACATTCGTACACGCTGTCATTTTCACTCATTTTTCAAAATATAGGGTGACCTTTGAGTATCAAGCTTTTTTACTGTCAAATATTTCTTAAAAACAGTGTAAAATACTCCCGATCTGATGTCTATCGAATATGATATGTGTCTTAAAGTCAATCATACATCAGCAAATATTATTTGCTGAAATTTGGCAAACAGTACATAAGTTGTTATAATTGTTGTTGGCAAGGACGGTTCCCATTTTTGATGCCCATTATAATTATTTTTTTATCTTTGAAATCCAGCTACTCATTTGTCTATAAAACAGGCATGGGTTGCTGTGAATGTCACATATTTTAGTGAATATATATTTCTTTGGTATTTTTAACAAGTTTTACAGCAGCTTTAATGAAGATTTTATTTTCACTCTAATTTACTGATTCTTTACCATTCATTTATAATGCAGTTTCTCGAATAGCCCTTGTTTCCAAACTTCTCACGATGAAACTATGTGATGAAAAGTGGTCACATCAACTGTTATAAATTCATTAAAGATTTACTAATATTAATGAGAGAAAGTCAAGTTTAATGTCATATGATATCTGTATTGTCATACAGTCCAAACATTATTTATTGAACAGCCCTCGTACGTCTGTATTGCGTCCATGTGCATACATATAAGGCAACCACTTCCCCCATTATTTATAACATTTAAACTTAAGGAAACATTTATTTTTAAGTGCTGACCTACATTTTCAACGGTCCTATAGCTAAAGTGCATTGCTTATCAAGGACACATTCAGGAAAGAACACATTAAGATATACTAATAATTATTTTTAGTTGTACTGTGGTATCTACAGGATAAATTTTAGAACATCCAATACATGTAACACAGGTTAATATCACCTGTGCATGTTGATACCAGGATTTAGTAGAAGTAAGTCAATATATATTCTGTTTATTTATATCAATTTATTAACAGTTCATTGAGTGTTTACTCTACATCCAAATGTATTTATTTACTAGAATACAGTGTACAGAGTGAGTGAAAGGGTGTCTGTAAAAGAGTATGTGTCTGCCCGTGTTCTATAATTAATTTGTATCAACTCAGTTCATTGTATTTGTTACCCATGATCTTGAATATAGAAAGGGTATTTATAGGCAGTCTGCCTGTTGCCAAATCTAATATTCAGTGATACGAATAAATATTGTTGAACCCATGTGTTAAATATATAATATATATTGCGGCTATTATAAAGCATTTCCCTAACAATTATCTGCTTAGAACATCCAAACGACATTAGTCACATTGACATTCCTGTGCGACTTGGAGTACATGTATGTTTTGATCTTTTTAAACATAGTGTAACCACATTTTCATGAAAATGTATAGACAAAGGATAAATAACAGTAAACTTTTAGAGAACATCATAGTTTTAAGTGGTGTTGAACATAGATACATAGATATTATCAAAGAAAAGTTATCATGTTGTTTTTATGCCAAGCGATGACATTTCTTTTTACATTTGCAGCTCTCACCCTTCCTAGTTATTGCCTTGTAAAATATCCTTTAACAGTAAAATGGATATCTGTCCTATTTGCTTTGAAAGAATAAAGAATCCTCACTTCTGCAATCCATGTCGACACATCTTTTGCTATAGCTGTATTTCCGCCTGGAGAAATGGTACGTGTCCATTGTGTCGAGAACAAATCATATCGTACAACCGTGTCCAGCAAGGATCTTCGACTGCTGCAGGTAAAATAATAAAAATTTCATGCTATTACAACAATTTAAAGAATTTTAAAAAAATGCAAATATGCTCACCACTTTTTCCACAGTTCTTAGCTAAGTGAATTATTCCATTGTTTGGGATTGTATATTACATGTATATTACAATAATTCTAAATTACAAGCTTCGGAGACCGAACATCGGAATAACCTTGCACAAAGGGTTATTCATTTAAAGAAACAAATAATTTTTTTAAAATCATCTTTCTTTAAGAATTAAATAATGATATGCACTTAGGTAAGGATGCACCAAAGGTTTTTCTCCAAATTTTCAACAATTTTAATATGTTTAGCTAAGAAAAAGAAGTTACGCACTGTTTTTAGAATTCAAAAAAATCTTGTTGGTTATGATTTTTTTTTATTACTTAACAATAATGAATCAAAAACTATGTTGTGTTTTTCAAGCTCCTGGATAAGGACAGACGAGACATCCCTTAATAATATATAAAAAATCTTAGAGTTTGTCATTGAAGTATTGACTAAACCAACGGAAGTTACCACTAATTAAACTAAAGATACTCTAGATTTAGAGATTTAAATGGTCATTAATGATCATGTAGTAGGAGGTGAGTCTAGACTTCTGTCATTTTTGCCAGGAAATCTTTTTTTGAATCAAAATTGAACTTATTTTACTTAATTACGAGGGCCGTTCAAAAATTACGCGGACTGTGCTATTATTTACTCTTACAGACGTCAAATAGTTATAAAGTTTCACAGAAATATGTATCTTAAAGATTCCAATAAATTTTGAGCAAAATTTCTGTATTTTAACAAAATTCTACTAAAATTATCGGTATGTTGATATCGTTGATGGTGAGGTACGGCGCACGACAAAAAAACTGAAGCAAAAGCATGCGGATTCAAAAATTTAACTCATTGATTTTCTAAAATTCGCGATATTTTTCAACAATTTTCTCAAATGTACCTTTAAATTGTTCTATTATTGTGTATTTAGAATTTGGACGTAATATTTGAAGTACTAACAGAAATATAGTGATTTTTCTCTGATGCGATTCCAGTGAAAACGACTGTGAAAATGACGTTTCCTGAATTGACGGCGCACCAAACTTTTGTTAAAATATGTGTAATGCTCGAGATATCGGCAGCATAGATCAAAAAAATGCATAATAAAACATGTAGTAAACTAGGCTACTCGTGACATTTGCCCACAAATAGCAAATTGAAATTTTAGACAGTTAGACCTCTGTAAAAAGGCTATACGGGAGGACGGGAAGAAGATTATAGACGAAAAGTTAACTTTATCCGGACTGTAAAGAGCGTGATTGAGAGTCACCAATATCACACTATATCTCATAAGTAGTTTTTGGTTTAAAAAAAAAAAAAGAATATTCTTTACTTGTTTTATAGATTTTAAGCTTGACAAGAAATGGTGTTTTGATGTTGAGTAGCTAAGGTAACTCAAACTATACAGGTACTCAAGGGAAAATGTTGAGAAAATGAAAGCTTAATTAGTACATATTTTTTATAATGCTTGTGACGTCGAAGATTTTGCTGCGCCGTGACTTAATGGTATGTCCTGAAAAATCACTCAAAATCAATACCAATTTACAAAATTTTTATATGAAATTTTGAAGACCATATAAGTAAAGATTCTTTTATATTATTTGTGAAATTTTGCCCGATTATGTCGTCAAATATTTCTTCTGTGCAACAAGTCCGCGTAATTTTTGAACGGCCCTCGTACATGTATTGTTTTTCTAAACAAAAAAAGAACCTACCATTCTTATGAATATACATGGATATGTACATAGGAAAAATGGATTTTAGTGACAGACATCCAAAACTGAATTTCCATATCATGCAATGTATTTATTTCTTTTGTAAATTTTGTTTTGTAATGGTGGTAATCCCTTCATTTCAAAATAAGGTTAGGTTGTAATCCCACTGTGCGACGTGGAGACCCGTCCTTCGTATGAGACTGTATAAACCGAGGCCCCGTGTCGCAGTAGGTGCTATACTATCATGCAAGAGATCCCTCCCTGCTCGATGACCCTGAGTGCCAAGTATACACGAAGGACGAAAAAATTGCAGCTCTCCACCGACAAGTCCTGGAGTCTCCATACGAGTGAAAAAATCTGGAGAGACGTTAAACAATATATAATCAATTAATCATTAGAATAAAGTTGGTGACTTTGGGGTTATAGCAATTGGAGATCTTTTGTGCATCCTGAAATGTATGAATTTTCCTTAAGTCTATATGATAATGGTGTGTACATTGCTTTGAATATAACCTTATAAAAATTTCCCTTTCTTCTTCTGGTAAAGAATTGAAGGTCTTTTGATAAATGTATTTAATAATCAATTGTCATAAAATTAACTATTGCACTTCAAAGTGTCTTGTATCTTTAATAAAATTATTCTGTAAACCTCTTCACAGAAAATACAATAGACGCACCAAACTACGCCGAGAGAAGCAAAATGTACGTTTTTATCCTGATCCTTGTCTTCATTCTTGTCGACATCCCGAGTCCAGCAGGATTCTTGAGATCCGTGGTATACCCTCCATGCCTTGACATACTTCTTATTATATGGGAAATCTTGTACATTGTGTTGGTAACCATTTTTATGCCACTGAAAAGTATCTACAGGTTAATTGTTGAGATTGTGATCTTTGAACTATATGACATTTTATTGGCTATATGTTACATGCCATTGGGTATCGGTAGAATCCTCATGAACTTTCCTTTCAATTTCTACGAGGGTTTGAAGACGTACTTTTTTGATAACAGTTGGTCGGCCTTATTTCATAGAACAGTCCATCTTTTACTGGTTATTTTGCTGATAGATTCTGCTGAACAAACTATTTGGTTACGGGCATTTGAAAGGATTCAATTTAAAGCCAGATTCTGTAGAGTGTATAACAACATTCTTGGACGTATAGAACGAATGAAAGGAAACCCCTGACTACTGCATTCATAGACATAATTACATCCTTCGGATGTGCGCATACATGTATACATGTGTGCATACATGTTTACATGTAACCCAAAATTCGCTAGAAAAGCCTTGTAATTATATGTACCTAGAAAAAAACACACACAGGATAAAAAACTTTGAAAAACAATGCATTTTAATTTACGTAATTTCTCTTTACTTAAAACATTGCTGTGATGTCATGCCTTTGTTCGTGCAGTCTAAAAATTTAACTGTAGCCGTCCGATAATAACCAGTCCGATGATATATTATTGGACGGCAGTGATAACACAATTGGATGGTATTTAAAAAAACAAGAAGAAGAGTGAAATAAAGGTTATATACGAGGGCCGTTCAAAAATTACGCGGATTGTGCTATTATTTACTCTTACAGACGTCATATAGTTATGAAATTTCACAGATATATGTATCTTAAAGATTCCAATAAATTTTGGGCAAAATTTCTGTATTTTAAAAAAATTCTACTAAAATTATCGGTATGTTGATATCGCTGATGGAGAGGTACGGAGCACAACAAAAAATTGAAGCAAAAGCATGCGGAATACAAAATTTAACTCATTAATTTTCTCTATATTTCGCGGTATTTTTCAACAACTTTCTCAAATATATCTTTAAATTGTTTTATTATTATGTATTTAGATTTCTGACGTGATATTTGAAGTACTTACAGAAATATAGTGATTTTTCTCTTATGCGATTCCTGTGAAAAAGACTGTGAAAATGACGTCTACTGAATTGACGGTGCACCACACTTTTGTTAAATTATGTGTAATGCTCGGGATATCGCCAACAAAGATCCATAATATGCATAATAAAACATGTGGTAAAGTAGGTTATTCGTGACATTTGTCCACAAATAGCAAATTGAAATTTTAGACCGTTAGACCTCCGTAGAAAGGCTATAAGGGAGGACGAGAAGACGATTATCGACGAAAATTTTATCCGGACTGTAAAGAACGTGATTGAGAGTCACCAATATCACACTATATCTCATAAATACCTGCAATTTTAGGTTTTAAAACGAAAAGAAAGAATATTCTTTACTTGTTTAAAAGATTTTAAGCTTGACAAGAAATAATGTTTGGATGTTAAGTAGATAAGGTAACCCAAACTGTACAGGAGCTCTTGAGAAAATGTTGAGGGAATGAAAGCTCAATCACATACTTTTTATAATGCGCGTGACGTCGAGGATTTTGCTGCTCCGTGAATTGATACCAATTTACAACTTGATATGAAATTTTGAAGACCAAATAAGTAAAGATTCTTTTATATTATGTTTGACATTTTGACCAATTATGTCGTCAAATATTTTTTCTGTGCAAAAAGTCCGCGTAATTTTTGAACGGCCCTCGTATGTCCAGAAACAAAAAAAAATTTAGGACAAAATTCAGGGAAAGCAAACACTAAAAAACTAAGTTACTACAAAATAGCAAATCCATGAAAAAAATCTGGTTAATTCCTTCTTCAAAATTAACACTTTCCACTTTTTAAAGTTTTTTTAAAACAACACTTTGAATAAGCGAATTTAAATCCATTTTGAGGAAGAATTTGATAATGTTGTAGGTTTGCTCCCCTTTTGTCGCACTTTTAAAACCCGAGAATTTCCATTATATAAACTATAAAATATCAGGATAAAAATCCGCCCATTTTTACTTTTAATGGTGATGGTTATAATATCACCCAAAATTATGTCTGTGTTAATGTCAATTTATGTACATAATAAAAAAATGTTCCAAAATAATAATTAAAAAATCCTTCACCATCGGACCCCTGTCCTGCTTACCTAAACTACTGCCATTGAATGAATGAAATGAATGAGTTCACTCACTGTTTTCATTGTCTCATTTCTTTTGTCTACTTATTAGACGTGTAGGAAACAATGGATGCCTGAACTTCCATTGGGTTATTATCGGACTCCTCCAGGTAACTTTTGGACATTTAAATGGATGTTTTAAGTTGGATATATGCCTCATACTTTTCTATATGTAAAATTATCAGACAGTTTTCGGCCCTAACGGGCCTCAAAGAGTCTGATAATTTTACATATAGAACAGTATTCAGCATACATCCATTACATTTTTTTCAGATATATACATTTGATTGAAAAAAAAATTATACAAACATAATTTTTTTTATACATTTGCATTTTCTATTTACAGATTATAAAATCTTATCATGCGTACAAATAAATCCATATTTTCAATGTTATTGAGAGATAGAGAGAGAGAGAGAATTGAAAAAGTTATTATTAATAGTTCAATCTACACTTTTTAAAAGATGTATCCCTTTGTGGGGTAAAGAAACAATATTTCTCCTCTTTATGCTACCAAACATTTAGGCGGCCTATGATGAATCCACTGTGTTTAAATTATAATTTAAACTATTTCATTTGCATATAAACTTAGCACAAAATTCCTTTGACCTGTTCTGTACAAGCCAAATTAGAGCTTGCCACGTTTTTGAGAGAATTTAAAAAAAAATTACGAATATATAGGGAGGAATTTAATTCGTTTTTTCAATCGAATTCCCAGAATTATTTTTATGAATCACCAAAGGGAAGATTTCTGGTGAATAAAATTATGTGAATTCATTCTTATTTGTTTGTTAATTATGAGGTCTGACATCGATTATTTTAAATAATCTTTTACCTTTTAAATGTTAAACAAGCTTGACACAATTTCGATCAAAGTATGTGCATGGATTAAATACACTGGATTAAGAGGCAGTCAAACATCGAATAGGCTATCTGACGGTGTGAATGGAAAAGCGGCAAGGTATCACTTTTAATTACTAGTAACATAGAAGCACCAAATATTAAGTTGACTCAAATATCAAAAAGGGAAGTAATGAGCCATTTTTATGTTCCAAGATTTCATTGCTTTTCATCTGCTATTGATTATATTCTCTATTGATATAAAAAAAAAGTTTTTGACCTACAAATAATAATGCTTTATAGCATCCGCAATAAATAAGTCACCGCTTAATGTTAGAAATATAATTAATTAATGTCATAAATTTTGGCACTTTTAATAGCCATTCCCAAATGCTTAGTCATATATGCTTTTGAAAAGTGGCGGTTTATGCTTTTCAAAAAGTGGCTGTTTATCATGAACGGTTAAGAAAATTAACTATGAATGCAAAAAAATATCATAATGACATTTAACACTAATGATATTTCTATCATTTAGCGGCTTTTTATCATTAGCGGTTGCTACAATACTTTCCCCGATGATCTGATTTCTTTTAAAGCGTATTTTTGTATTCGATTTGTCCGATTTATTTAGAAATTATTATTAGTGCAAAATCTTCAATAATTAATAAACAAACGATTAAGGATTAATATTTTTTTGCCATTTTAAATCTATAAAACTTCTTCGGTAGTTGTGACTCTTCCCCATTTTCCTTTTTCTAGTATTAAGTATTTGTGTTGCTATTTTAGAAAAGCTTCAGTGCATATTAACGAGCCAGGATGTTTAACTTGTGTAAGATTTAAATCGAATTTGCGACTAAAACATATGTACGAAATGTTTTCAATGAATTGTTTTCAATAGTTAAGATTAAATGGAAAACTGCACAATTTGTTTCGAAGAAATTCAAAATCCATGTTTCTGCAAACCCTGTGGGCACAGTTTTTGCCGCCATTGTATCACTACTTGGAAAAATCAAACAGCAACATGTCCACTTTGCAGAAAATGGATAAGGTCGTTCAAACTAATTAGAAGTGTGTCATTAAACAAGAACACCCAACAAGAGCCATCTTTCAGACAAACGTCACCTTTATCAACAACAGCGACGTTCACCCGACAAACGTTTTCTGCATTTTTAGGTAAAAATAAAGAAGAAAAATATGTGCTTCGAATTTATACACTTATACATTGCAAATTAGTTGTCTAAAACAATTTTTTTAGAAACATTTTTAATAAATATCCATTTTTAGGGAAAAACTTGGTTTAGGCTTTTTTATGACTTGTGAACCGCGGGACCGTTTATAAAAAAGAAGTTTAAGATGTTTTATCCAGTTTTACTGTTTACAGTATATACTGGGCTGCTTTTAAATGGATTCCATATAAATCAATCTTCATTCATTATAAGAAAGTGTTGTTGATTTCCCTTAAAAATGATTTGATTTCTTTTTTCACCCAATCAACTGTGCTCCTGCGTAAATTATTTAAAAGAAGATCTTGATTGGATTAGTTTATTTTAATTATTAAATGCTAATAATCATTATTTTACAGATACACACATACCAGAGTATTTGGAAGAATTATTAATTGGAGGAATAACTATTATCTTGTTTAGTAAGTTAAGGGACTCCGACCCTCAGCCAGGAAGGACAACTCTTTAATTTATAATTTAATTCAAAAAGTCTTAAATGAAGCTTGAAAATTAAATAGTTTCATGCAACAATTTTCATAATATGCCTCTCAATGTGTTTCAAGGTTCTTTGCAAATCTCCATAACTTACTTCTAATTTCATATCATGTTAATAAACATTGGTGTCTAAAAATGCTTTTTTGGGATAAAAATTTCTACTTTTAATTAAACCTTTCTGAGAAGTTCAAAGAACCTTGAAGCACATTGAGAGGCATATAATGAAAATTGTTGCACGAAAAGATTAATTTTCAAGCTTCATTTAAAGACTTTTTGAATTAAATTATAAATTAAAGAGTTGTCCTTCCTGGCTGAGGGTCAGAGTCCCTTAAGTTGATTGCCCTTTTAAATGACATGAAGTAATTTTTCTAGCCAAACAAACGCGGGTTTAAAAGTAGTGTCAATTATTCTAAAAAAAAAGTTCTTAATCGGCTTTTTAGAAAATTAATTTATTTTTAAATGCCAAATATTGTTATTTTACAGGTACCCAAAGACCAGAGAATTTGGAACAATTGTTTATTTCTGGAATTATTATTATCTTAATTGCGCGCCTTGTGATATACGTGACATATGGTCTTGTGTTATTTCTGATATTGTATATGATTTTTTATAAATGTTAAATAATTCTTTATTGAATAACTTTAAGCCATACGGCTAATCTGTATATAAACAAAAATACATATAATGAACAAATGGCGAGAGTCTGCGGGGGTGGAGCCCCTGGCTGACTC